AAAATGAATTTGGAAATGTTTCTCCTCTTCTGTTTTTTAGAAGAGTTTGAGAAGGATTGATATTAATTCTTTAAATGTTTGATAGAATTTACCAATAAAGCCATCTGGTTGTGGCCTTTTGTTTGTTGGGAAGTTTTTTGTTTGTTTGTTTGTTTGTTTTTAAGATTTTATTTATTTGACAGAGAGAGACCCATCGAGAGAGGGAACACAAGCAGGGGGAATGGGAGAAGGAGAAGCAGGCTTCCCACTGAGCAGGGAGCCTGATGCAGGGCTCGATCCCAGGACCCTGGGACCATGACCTGAGCTGAAGGCAGACACTTAATGACTGAGCCGCCCAGGTGCCCCTGTTGGGAAGTTTTTGATTATTGATTCAAAATCCTTACTAGTAATTGATCTTTACAGATTTTTTATTTCATAATTCAGTCTTGGTAGGTTGTATGTCTGTAGGAATTTATCCATTTCTTCTAGGTTATCTAATTTATGTACAGTTGTTCATAGTAGTCTCTTATGATCCTTTGTATTTCTGTGGTATTGATTGTAATATCTTCTCTTTTATTTCTGTATTTATTTCTTTGCTCCTTAGTCTAGCTAAAGGTTTGTTAATTTCGTTTATCTTTTCAAAAAACCAACTATTAGTTCCACTGATGTTTCCTATGGTCTTCTTAATCTCTATTTCATCCATTTCCACTCTGAGATTTGCCATATCTTTCCTTCTACTAATTTTGTGCTTAGTTTGTTCTTCTTTTTCTATTTCCTTAAGATGTAAAGTCAGATTGATATCTTTTATTTTTCTTAATATAGGTGTTCATTGCTATGAACTTCCTTCTTTGAACTACTTTGCTGCATTCCATATGTTGGCATGTTGTATTTCCAGTTTTGTCTCAAGGTACTCTTTGATTTCCTTTTTGATTTCCTCTTTGGCTCATTGGTTGTTCAGTAGCATGTTGTTTAATCTCCACACACTGGTGAATTTTCCAGTTTTCTTCCTGTAATTGATTTCTAGTTTCATACCACTGTGGTTGGAAAAGATGCTTGGTATGATTTCAGTCTTCTTACATTTATTAAGACCTGTTTTGTGATCTAGCATATGATCTCTCCTGGAAAATATTCCATATGCACTTGAGAAGAATGTGTATTCTGCTGTGTTTGGAAGGACTGTATTGTAAATGTCTAATCTGTCAGGTCAATGTATAATTTAAGTCCAGTACTTCCTTTTTGATCTTCTGTCTGAATGATCTATTGTTGAAAGTGGGGTATTAAAATCCTCTACGATTATTATATTACTATATATTTCTCCCTTCATATCTGTTTATATTTGTTTTGTATATTTAGGTGTTCCAATGTTGGGTACATAAATATTTATAATTTTTATATTATTTTGATGAATAGACCCCTTTATCACAGTATAATAACCTTTGTGTTACAGTTTTTGGCTTAAAGTCTATCTTGTCTGATATAAGTATAACTCTTCCTACTTTGGTTTCCATTTGCATGAAAAATCTTTTTACAGTCCTTCATTTTCATTCTATATGTGTTTTTACAGGTGAAGTGAGACTTATAGATAGCTTATAGTTGAGTTTTTTTTTTTTTAATACACTCAGCCACTTTGTGTCTTTTGATTGGAGAATTTAGTTCATTTATATTATAGATAGTTATGGGTTTAGTATTGCCATTTTGTTAATTGTTTTCTGGCTGTTTTATATCTTACATAAAATATATCAATCTATTTTAAGCTGATAACTTAATTTCAAATGTGTACAAAAGCTCTACATTTTTACACTTTCCCCACATTTATGCTGAATTTTTGATGACACAATTTACATCTTTTTATACTGTGTATCCATTAACAACTTATTATAGTTATAGTTATCTTTAACACTTTATATTTTAATCTTTATACTAGAATTGTAATTTACCTGCTACCATTAGTTTTAGAGTATTCTGAATTTAACTATATATTTACCTTTTACCAGTGAATTTTATACTTCCACATATTTTCATGTTACTAATTAGCATCCTTTTGTTTCAGCTTTAAAAAGTCCCTTTAACATTTCTTGTAAGGCTGTCTAGTGAGGATGAACTCTTCAGCTTTTATTTGTCTGGAAAACTTTATCCTTCAATTCTGAAGGACAACTTTGTCCCATAGAGTTTTTTGCTTGGCAGTTTTTTTTCTTTCATCACTTTGAATATATCATTCCACTCTATTCTGGCCTACAAAATATCTGCTGAAAAAGTCACTTTTCTGTGACTTTTTTTTACCCTGAAAAAGGTAAAAGTCACTTTTCTTCTGCTGCCTTTAACTGCCTTTCAACTTTTGAAAATTTAATTGTATGTGTTTCAGTGTAGGTCTCTTTAGATTGATCTTTTTGGGGGTTGTTTAGACTTTCTAGATCTGAATGTCTGTTTGTTTCTCCAGATTAGGGAAGTCTACAGCCATTATTTCTTCAATTGAACTTTTTGCCCCTTTCTCTCTCTCTTCTCCTGCTGGGACCTCCATTTTGGTCTGCCTGATGGTGTCCAGTAAATCCATCACTCTTTCCATGCTTTTTTCCTTTCGCTTCTCTAATTGGATGAATTCCACTGCCCTGTCTTTGGGTTTGTTGATCCCTTCCACTGCTTGATCTGGTCTGCTATTAAAACCCTCTGTTGAATTTTTTAAGTCCGTTATTGTATTCTTTGGTTCTATAAATTCTGTTTGATGCTTTTTTATATTTTCTGTCCCTTTGTTAAAATTCTCAATGTTCATTCATTGCTCCCCTGATCTTGATGAGCATCTTTATGGCCATTATTTCAAACTCTATCAGGTAAACCACTTACTTCTGAAATATCAGTTTCTGGAGATTTATCTTGTTTTTTGCTTGGAACATATTCCCCTCTTCATTTTTTTGACTCTCTATGGTGGGTTTGTTGTATTAGATAAAACAGTCACTTCTCCCAGTCTTGACAGACTGGTCTCATGCAGGAGATGAATTTCATCAATCAGCCCAGCTCAAGCTTCTAGGTCAAGCATTTGTGATTGTCCTAGCCACATTATTCTTTATGGTGCCCAACAGTTGAATATGTGCCAAGATCTATCAGTGCTCCAAAGAGAAGGATCACAGTCAGAACCTATATGCAAGCTGATTAGAAGCGAGACCCTCAGACAGCATGTGGGCAAGTATGCAGTTAAGCCTCTTTCACAGAGAAACTGGAAAGTGGATATTTGCCTATTCCTTTTGCATTGAGCCAAGGTGTATATCCATGCTTGGGATTGGAGGAGGGTGCTCCTGCACCATTTAAAAACTGCTTATTTGTTTGTTATAGTCCTGTGGGACTTTTCAATGCAACCCCCATTGGCTATCAGAGCCAGGGAAGGTGTGGACCATTCTTTGGGCAGCAGCTGCAAAAACTAGGGCAGTTGGTATGTGTAAAATCTCCTTCCAAAGAGATGTTGGTGGCCTAATTATATAATTGGAGTTAGCTCGAGGGAGAAAGTAGTAGAAGTGCCCACTAGCTCCCCTGGACAACTCCATGAAGGATTATAGCTAGCACCTAGATGTGTGCAAATTATAAGCCAGACCTCAGGCAGTGGTTTGTAAAGTATGTAGTCCATCCCCTTCCAAGAAAAGACTGGAAAATGAACATTTTTTTTTCTACTTCCTCTGTGCTAAGGGAGGACAGCCACAGTGAGTCCTAGCATGTAAAGAACTAGCTTTGTTTTCTGTAGTGCTGTGGGACTTGTGGTTATAAGCTCCACTGGCTTTCAGAGTTAGGAATTTTGCAGGCCTGTCCCTTAGGTGGGAGCCTTAAAAGTTGGAATCCTGTATGTACTGTCCAAATGCTTTACTCCTCAGGAAGAGGCTGAGAGTTGGGGTTATCTTCCTTACAGTATGGTTCTGTGCCAGAAATGGGGTTTACAATACGTTTGTCTCATCCTTTCCTACCCATTTCACTGTGGTTATTTTTTTAGTTGCCTGATGTGGTAGGAGTCATTCAGCTAGTTTCTGGTTTTTTGCAGAGGAAATTGTTCCATGTATAGCTGTACTTTAGGTGCATCTGTGAAAGGAGGGAAGTTCAGGGGCCTCCTATGTCACCACCTTGGTCCCTTCTACAAAGGACTGGCATATACATTGCTCCAAAGAAGATACACAAGTGGGGAATAAGCACATGGAAAGATGCTCAATATTATTCATTAAGGAAATGCAAATCAAAATCGTAATAAGGTTACCACTTCACATCCATTAGAATGGCTACTATTTTAAAAAATGTAAAAGAAGTATTGTAGGATGAGGATAAACTGGGAACCTTTGTGTATTGTTGGTGGGAGTGTAAAATGTATAGCCATTATGGTGATTCTTCAGAAAGTTAAAAATAGGATTGCCATATGATCCAGCAATTTCACTTCTATACATATATACTCAAAAGAATTGAAACAGGGACTCAGATACTTGCATACAAGTATTCATATTAGCATTATTCACAGTAGCTAAAAGGTAGAAACAACCCAAATTTCCACGAACAGATAAAAGGATAAACAAAATGCGATATATACATGCAATGGAATGTTGTTCAGCTCTAAAAAGGAATGAAATGATGAACCTTGAAAACTTTGTTAAGTGAAATAAGCAAGACACAAAAGGATAAATATTGTATCATTCCACTTTTATGAGGTGTCCAGAAGAGGCAAATTCATACAAACTACAATAGAAGTTACCAGGAGCTTGGGGAAGGGGAGGATGAGAAGTTATTTTTTAATAGGTACAGAGTTTCTATTTGAGATGATGAAAAGTTCTAGAAATGGATAGTAGTAATGGTTGTACAACACTATGAATGCGCTTAATGGATTGAATTGAATTGTACAGTATTGTACATAATTGAATTGTACACTTAAAATGGTTAAAATGGTAACTATATATTTTACCAAAATTTAAAAAAATTAAAAGCCTTTTTTTATTTTTATTTTTTTGATCATAGAGTTTAGTTACAAATCATTAATAGATTTTAATATTTCATTTTCATAGAGGCCCAGAACAACATTTCTAAATTTCTACAATGCTGCCTGAAATGCTGTTTCTGGTGTTTGGAAAAAATGGTAAAGTTTTTTAACAGAAATGCCTATGTTATGGTAAGTAGATTATTCTTTACTAAATTTCTTCTTTGCAAACCCAAACCCCATGTGTACATTTCCATCTCTAACACTTTTTACATCATGCAGTTGAATTTATCACCATGTTGGTATAAGGATTTGTGAATCCCATACCTGATTCAGAGCTATGCTATCCTAGTTGAGATAATATCTTAACTGTAGTTATTACTGTTAATATCTTTTTAAAGAGGGAAAATATTATTTACCTTAGAAATTTTTAAATATGTTAGATTGAAAAGATTTTGTGTGTCTTTGACATAGTTTAGTGTAAGGAGAGGTTCTATATTTCACTCTGAAAAAAAAAATCTAATTCTGGGATTTACATATTTCTAGGGAATGGTCTATTTCTTTTTATAAATCTTATATTGAAATGTGTGGGAATCGACAAGGCCTACCTGAATGTGTTACTTATTTTCTATGGGGGAATTTGGAGATTTTTTAAAAATAGGGATTCCAAAAACATAATTCTTCTAAAATTTAGTAACTACAACTTTATGATACTTGTCTTTCCCATGACACAGAGTCTGCAGGGTGATTCAAATAGTCATTAATTTACCTCCAGTGAGGATACTATATTGAACATTTTAATCAGTAAATCAATATTTCGAAAAGTGTTGGGTACCCTAGAATAATTTTTAATGTGAATGCTGCAATATTTATCCCATTCACAACAGACCCTAGCCAAAACACTTCAAAGACAGAAGCCATATCCTGGGATTTGAGAAAAAGATCTACTTCTGTGTGAATTCCCATGGAGTTTATAGGCATATAGCATCTGAAGCACACCAGAGTCCCTGACAGCTGTGCAGAGTTGAAGCTAAACAGTTCCCAGGTCTCCCACACACCCAAATGCTAGAAAGAGGAATGACAGTAGCTGTCTGGGTGATAAGAGAATTAATTTTCCTGTCATTGGATTGCCTGTTGGTCTTGTTAGGGTATGTTACTGACTCCAGAATAATGACATCTGTTTTCCTCAGATTGCAATATATGGCAAAAACTTCTGCAGGTCAGCAAGAGATGCTTTCAATCTGTTGATGAGAAATGTTTTAAAGTAAGTAATCAGGTTGAATTTGCAAAAGACAATTTGGTGAAATTTGAGCATCACAGACTTCACATGTTGTGATTTAAATTGATGGTGGTCTTATTAGACATGAATATTATCTCTCAATTGGATAGATTTAAATCTTCTCACACTATTTCTTTTTGTATCTTAGAATGTTGCTTCCATCATCCATCTACATCTTCACACTAACTGGCATTTTATTGATTTTTATTATCCCTTCTGCTCAAGAAATTCTCCACAAAAACATCATGTTTCTGACCACTTCCCCCTACCCAAATTGAGAGTCTGAGTGAGCAAAAGCAGGGGAAAAAATGAAATCTCCTCGAAATTCAGGGTGTCTTAGGCTTTGAAACAGAGGCTGACATAACTAATAGTGCCTGATAGCCCCACAATGCCATCTTCTGTTTACTTCATCAAAAATAAATCAGAACTTCATTCCTGGGGTCTACCTTCATTTCTTGCATTTAACAAAGGCCAAATAAAATTTCCAGTGAAGACACATCAAAGTGAGCTCATAAATTATTTACTCTCGTAAATTTCAAGTGACAAATGTAATTTAAACACAAAATTATACTTTTTTTTCTGATTCTCAGAGTTGCAGTTATGGATAAAGTTACAGACTTTGTACTAATCCTGGGGAAAATTCTAGTTGCTGGATGTATAGGTAAGTAATAGTAAACATAATAAGTTTAGAAGGTACTTAGAAAAACTTCTTTGCTACAAAAAACTATATTCCTTTGCAAATACATAATATACATGTTCTGCCTTTCCAATGTAGGTGTGCTGGCCTTCTTACTGTTCACCCACAGATTGCCAATGATGATAGAAGGACCAACATCTTTAAATTACTACTGGGTACCTTTGCTGGTAAGAGTTGGTGTTTTAGTCAGTTCAGGCTTCTATGACAAAAATATCATAGATTGGGTGGCTTAAACAAGAATTTATTCCTCACATTTCTGAAGGCTGAGAAGTCCAAAACAAGGTGCCCACAGATTCAGTTTCTGGTGAGAGCTCTCTTCCTGGTTTGCAAAGGGACCCCTTCTCACTGTATCTTAACATGGTGGAGAGAGATATCATCATCTCTCCTGTCTCCTCTTTTAAGGGCATTAATCATGAGGCTGCACCCTCATGACCTAATTACCTCCCCCAAACCTCACCTCCAGATATCGTCACATTGGGGATTAGGTTTCAACATATGCATTTTGAGAGGATACGATTCATTCATAGCAACTGGGTAGGTAATATTGACTCTGATTTATCAGAGATGGCAAAATAAAAGGAATAAGAAAAATAATAATAGCTAACATTATTGGTCCTACTTTGTGCCAAGCCTTATTCTGCTTTAGATTGGATTCCTTAGAAACAACCTCTGAGACAGGATTGTATGCGGAAGGTTATTTGGAAGTGTTCTCCCGAGATACCCTTGTAACAAAGAAGTGAGGAGGGCAGGCATGGGCAAAGGAAAAAGCTGCAGTTATAGTGGAGGCCTCAGACATATTGACAGGAAGTTCTGAAGGAAGAATTAAGCCTCTGTATGCTGCATCAGGCAGCCGTTGGCCAGAGGTTGCCCCCTGGATGCTGGTGTAACCTTGGGTGAGGCAGTCCATGCAAAAAGGGCAATTCCCAGTGAGTGAAGCCACTCAGTTGTCAGCAGCCTACATTCCTAACAATTGGATGATAGATGTAGCAGCTGGAGAGGACCTGGTAGGAGCCCTGCAGTATCTATAGCAATTAATTAACTCATTCAATCCATATGTCATAAATACTATTATTCACATTTTCTCCTTGCCCACCAGTAATTTTTTATAGGAGGCAGGAGACACAGTGAAGTTAAGTAACTTGTTGAGTGAGTGCCTGACATGTGATTCAACCCTAGGCAGTGTGTGCTCTTAACTCCCGTGCTTTCCTGCCTCAATCTACAGGATCCTAAATCTGGGATATTTTTGGTAGGCATTGGGGATAGTGGTAAGAAAATTGGCAGACAATATAATACATTTAGATCTCAGTACAAATCACCCAAAAGTGTTAACATTGTACTTTTTTGGTCTCTATATTGAAATCTTTTCTAATATAGGGTACTTCAGCATTTCTCATCATGACTTTCATTTAAAGCTGCATTATTGTTCTTCTGGACAAGTTAATGACATCTTCATGTTGTTCTTTACTCATTTACAGACAGTCATTATTGGATCTTACCTAGTTGCACATGGGTTCTTCAGCGTCTATGCAATGTGTATTGATACAATTTTCATCTGCTTCTGTAAGTTTTCAGTATATGTGTTTTCCCCCTTTGGAGAGTAACTGAAAGATAAGAAGGTTAAGACCCATGTCCTTAGCTGGCTTGTAGATTTGCTATGGCCTGGCTGCAACTACCAAATAGTGTTGATTTGGAAAGAGACTCTGTTTAGTAGATGCTCTTTAAACCTTAACAGCTGAGAGAATGGAGTTTGCAAAGCACTGCAGAGTCCGCTACTGAAATGAACTTCAGGCTCCATGGCATGGTGTTATAGCATGCAACTGTTTTTTCACATCTTAGTATTTTCAAATTTTAATAATAAAGCACAATGGAATCTAATCATTAACAGCACTGAGGACATAACTGGGCTTTGAGATTGGACTTCAGGAACTCTTTGAGGAGAGACTTTATAATTCTGATAAAGCCAAGCTAGCAATGGTTTCCAAGACACATAGGGCCAATTCACAGTTGATTCATGGAGGAGAATGTCTAGGAAACAGCTCGATCGATTCTGACGCTTAGAGTTAAAATACTTCTTAAATACTTCTTAAAATGCTTTCATCACTGATGTATTTGCTGTGCCTCTGTGTGGCATGTGTAACTCATAATGGATAGGTTTTCTATTAGTATCTCATCTTAAAAGCCTTGGAGAACCTAGTGCCCTAGGAGCTTGACCTGTCCCTTACCTTCAGCCTAGGGAAAGCAGGCTCAGCAGATGAAAGAACAAATTGTTAGCCCTCCAGCTGTACCCTCTGAGTGATTATTTCTCTGGCACATTGCTCTTAAGAGAAGCAGAGAAAACATTCTATGACAGGGCACTACTGAGTGATCCACTTGTGTAAAATTAACAGTTTATTTTTTGGCATAACTCACAGCACCAACTTTACACTGGGGTCAGGAGAGGATATAATGCTTATAGGGAGAAATATTCAAAGAAAAAAACTCCTAGAAAGTGGTTTGACTTTTTTTTTCCTAAACATTTAAAAATTATTTTCAATAACTGGACAATTCAGAAATCAGGAGAACTGTGCATACTAGTTAGTTCTCTCTCTGGCTATAAATGGAACAGAAATGTTTAATCATCTTCTAATGCCACTGTCAGTGGTTTATTAGGAGAAGCCATCTACAAAATGCCACATGAACAAAATTTGGCTCAGGTTGGAGATGGAGAAAGGAGCACAGAAATATGGTAGTGCCTGAGACGGAGGTCTCAAATGTTCAAAGATCTCTTTTTTTCATCTCAGATGCTAATCATAGAAATAGTGGGAGATCCCTTTAGGATCTTCCCCATTCTTATAACTGAAAATGTTTCTCAAAATGTATCTCAGGAAATGCATGGAAGCTTTGGAAAAAGTCTTATGGATTTTAAATTTGACAGTGGATTTTAAATTTGAGCAGTAAGAAATGTTTTCTACCCTTTTATATTAATAATTGCCAACTTCTTGAAAACCAGGTGTAAGTTCAGCTTTATTCAATACATTGTGTTGAACATGAATAGTTTCCTTCTGGAGACTCTGGTCTTTGAGAATAAAGAACAAGGGATACCAAATTATATTTCTCCTCCCTCCCCAACTTTTACTCTGGGCAACATCTTACTTTGGAAGACATTCTTCTTAAATGGTGCCGTAAGCCAAATTCTGATTGTGTGGAACTATACCTTTATACATACATATCTTTTTATACCTATTCTCTTGGCTGCCAGACAACTGGTGTTTTTAAAAATGCAAACCATTTGCAAACACTGCATTTATAAAAACATGGCATCTTTTTAATATTACAAAGCAATGAGAATTCTGGTCCCAGTATGAGAAAAAAGTAGTGTTGTAGATGATTATTAGTGTGATCCATACCATGCTTCCTAATAATGCTTCAAAAGTAATAACAATATAAATATACTGTATATGATATAGAAATATGGTTAAGGAAAAAAGAAAAAAAGTTCAGTGTCCATCATATTCCCTCCTTAGCTTTTCATTTTATCTGAGGAAGGTCATTGTGAGGTCTAATGTAAAAATCTAAATCAATGATTCAACCATTCCCAGAAAAGGATGAAAAATAATTGATTTATTCCATAAATCTATGACTATCCTATATGGTTTTATATTTCTTATCCTTTGTCATAATAAAGGCTATGAATAACAAAATCTTTTTTAATACACTAGTGGAAACATAGAGTCAAGCTGTACTTGTATATTTATTGATAGATATTATCTGCTGTGAATTCTATCTTTAGGAAGCTTAATTCCGTGCCAACTTTTTGCTCCTCAGCATCATTCTGGTGCTTTCCCTGAATCACCTGATAGGTGTGTGCTCAGTGAACATTCCATCATTTTATTATTAGCCTAGGCAAAGCAGGAAGGTAAATTCATGTGTTACATGAAGTCAGAAAACCCTGCCACTAGTTTTCTAATGCAATCTGAGGAAATTTAAGACAGGATAACTTATAGTTAAGTAGGACAAGAACCGAACTAGGTGTCAAGAGGCTGGGTCCTCACCTCATTCTGATTCCTCCAGAGCTTTTGACTTCAGGAGAATCATTTCACATACCTGGGTCTCCGCTTCTTCATCTGTAATGTTATGGATGTGGACTACCATTAAAAGTGACTTTGAACTCTGAAATTCAATTATTGTTCTACATTTACCACAGACTTTTTATTCGGCTTCATCTCAGAAGATGTGGCATTTTACCTTTCTGAAATGAGCAGTCACAGATTTAGAGATAATACTTTTGAAACGATATGAAAGATCTTATTAACCTTTAAACTATCAAAATAAACCTCTTTGGGCATTGGTGGGATTTAGGAAGTTTCAGTGCTTCCTGGCAGAGGTTGAAGTTTCTTACTTTGTCCAGCATCAGCAACTTAACGGTACGGATTGTCTTATATTTGACTTTCTAACGCTAATTTCTCTGATTTTTCCCTGTTTGACTCTCCAATTTATAAAAATACACTTAATTCTGCTGTCGCTTGCTGTTTTGCCTGCTTTGGCTGCTGCATATACAGGTGAAGATCTGGAAAGAAATGATGGATCCAGAGAAAAACCCTACTTCATAGCCCCTACCCTGCATGGAACTCTGAACAAGATGCAACTAGTTCCCCAGAAGCAGAAAGAGTAGAAAAGCTCCAAACAGTGACATTCATTTTTAAATAGAACTTTTGTAAACTAGATCATTTGTGACTTGAAAATGATTCTTTTGAGTAATGTGAAATTTCTGTGCTTATTCCTAAAAAGCCAGAACCGGGTACCACTTGAGGTGACAGGCCTTTGGTGACAGTAGCCACTGTGAACTAGGATACTTTATAGACTGTTGTCCCAGCTGAAAAATCAAGGTGTAAATGTCAAACATATATTTAAAGCCTATAGCCAAAAGTGTTCTAAATGAGACTTTTATAACTCAGAGTGCTGTTTCCCATTGCCGCACTTTGATCGCCTTTCTTTTTATAAATGTATATTTGTAAAGGATATTCAGGCAATTTTCGAAAGCACTATAAACGTATAGTCAATTAGCTATAAAAAAGACTGACATAGTTAACCAGCATACGGTACTAAATTTGTAAATATGGTGCTATGGTTATATAGCTGCTCCAACTAGTGGGCGGCTTTCTCAACTGTGATTAAACTCGTATAAATGTTTCCCTAGGAAGTATATTTCAGTGTGTGATTCAATACAACAGAGATGTTAATGTTATACAAGTTCCATAGAGAACACCGCTAGGTAAAAATCACTGGGGAACCTCATAACCCGAGAGCCCACTTTGTTTTAGTGAAATTATACTCATAGTAAAGTTGAATCTGAGTTTGGGGATGTCATTTCCAATACTGTGAACCTCTAGCCACTGTGAAAATATGCTGAACAAAACTGAAATGGCTACATAACTCATGCCTTTTGTCTCTAACCCAGATGGAGACAAATTCCTATTTTCCTATTCCCACCATACAGAAATTGGAATGGATCGGTTTCAGACGAGTGATTCTATCTATCTTTCACAAGCATACCTGTTTTTCTAGATTAAAGAGATTGTTTGACTTCATTCTACAAAAGGTTTAGTTTTAGCTCAACTTAAGTGAGGAAAGAGAAAAGATGAGTAAGACACTTCAGATTTTTCCCTGAGGAAATATACTACTAGCACTCCATTGGTACCTTGTTTGGTACCTTTACAGGGGTGCACTGTGTGATAGGAAATCTCTCTTGAGAGTTTAGCAGGAAAGTTATTTTTATACTCCATCCTTGCTGGCCAGAACAACAAGCTGGTTGCTGGCAGCCATGCCTTAGTCTTTTGCATGGTGGAACAAAGCATGAATCAGACACTCAAGTACTTTGCCTGTCCATCCCTTGTGTGCACATGTGTATGATTTGGCTAACAGTGTAAAAATTACCCCAAAAGGAACATTGAATCAAGTAGTATCCTTTGGGCATTTACACTAAGCTTGTGTATAAGGATTATTTATGTATTGACACAAAGAAATGTGTTGATCTAAGACTGGTCTAAATGTGATCTAAATATGATCCATGTATTTAAGAAGAGAGTCAGAAATGTATCATCATGTCACAAATTAATATAAAAACTAACTTATGTAATCCTGAAGTATGGGAACCTAGATTTAGACTGACTCTGTGACAGCTTAATAGCAAGAAACCAATGAATAAGGAAGATTTTCAAAATAGTGGTCTTTATAATAATGGCCACCGTCTTGTTCTTGGCTTATTTTCTTGAGATTGTTATGGTCAGAAGTGTCACTTGGCTTCACATTGTGGCAAAGGGCCTTCTTCACTCTTATTCTTGAAGTATAATTCAGAGAAGAGTGATAATCTATCTTTCTGGATGGTTATTATTATCCAACAATACAGAGGTCACAACCAAGATCTAGTAAATAGTAAAACCTCTCTTTTTTGAGAGTGTGTGTGTGTGCAAGTGCACATGTGCACACATGAGCAGCAGGAAAGTGGGGAGAGGGAGAGAATTTTAAACAGGTTCCACACCCAGTGCAGAGTCCAGTGCAGGGCTGGATTTCACGACCCCAAGATCATAACATGAGCTGAAATCAAGAGTGGGAGGCTTAACCATCTGAGCCACCCAGGAGCCCCAGTTACCTCTCTGTTAAGTGTTAAAAAAATCTTGGGGAATACATCCCCTTCAGGAGTAGTTGAATGATGATACATAATGATGAAAACAACACAGTTATAATTTTTTTTTTTAGTCGGCATCAGAATCACTCTGAGAACTTCTAATAGATGCCCATGCCCTTCCCTAAGAGATTCTGATATGTTGTGTTTGGGTGTGGGGCAGCTTGTGAATTATAAAGTTCTCTAGTTGATTCTGATACACATAAAAGTTGGAAAATCACTTGAATAAAATATAAATCAACACGCAAAGAACTGGTTGCCTATATTCTTATATTCTTGGCTGTTCCAGAAGTTAGAAAATTAAGACAAAAGATTAATTTGGAGACTTCTAATAATCATAACTTCTGTATTTTAGATTCTTAGACTAGATGGGGCCCATGTATTACATGTTTAACATTATATCTGCTGACAGACCAAAAAATTCACTAGAGTAAAAGTGTTCACTGAACTATATGGAGGCATATTCTATAGTTGGCTATATTTTAAGGATATAACCCATGGATACAAAATCATAGGAAAAGAAATGCTATTTGGTTCAATATTTTTAAATACCACTTAGAGGAAGAATCTCTAAGTATATAAGTTTGAACTATATTATGGACTTAGTTCTAGTCAGAAAAAGTTTTCCCCACTAGTTTCTTCTTTGTGAAGAAGAAAGTAAAAATGAGCATTGTTTTTGAGGGAAAAAAATTAGAAGCTATTATCTTATGAAGCAATTAACTGCAAAACAATACTTTTCAAAACTTGCAGTTTAAGGCCTTTTGAAATACATTAAAATTTTACAAATCTTATTTTTTAAAACTATGCTACCTAAATTGTTGATGGCAAAACAAAAGCAATTTTGAACAAATACAATAATTTATAAAGTGAATTGAGTACATACTACTTTTCAGGAATTTGAAGGTGAATTTGGAAATTCTGGACGAGGTTTTTCTGTGGTTTTTTTTTTTTTTTTGGTAAGTTTCCTATCCAAAAGAAGGTAAAAGTTATTTTCTCAGTCATGCACCTGAGAGGCATGCACTATTAGCAGAATATGACCTGGTACACAGAATGGGGTAATATTTTACTAACATAATAACAAGGGCTGCTTGTTTTCTCATAGGTATGTTTACAATAATGATGCCAAACTATGCTATTTAAAAAAATAAAAAGTTTTGAACTGCTGTAAAGCAAGTGTGCAGCAGATGGCGACGTTACTTCTCTTACAGTTTTGCTTTGATATTTACTCTGTGCCATTCTTCCTCCTAGTGGAAGATATAGAAAGAAACGATGGTTCTGCTGAAAGGCCCTATTACATGAGTCAGTCTCTACTGAAGATTCTGAACGAGCCAAGTATGCAAACTAAGAAGCATTAGAAGTGCAAACTGTGGTCATCCTGCAGCGGTGTTACCTAATCTTCATCTGCTGTGTCTGCACAATACTAGTTTCATAAGTGCTTTGTGTTTGGAACACTGTATTCACCACCTTGTTGGCTTTTATTTGCATGTTTAATACCAAAGCTTATACTGTAATATGTGAAGCCATCAGAAGTTGCAAGGGAATTGTTAATAACATGGTACATTTTTATACTAAGATCTTTTGTTTTGTAATTCATTTTTAAATATAGTGGCTTGGATGTTTTGAAAACACTAGTGAATATGTTCATATTCTTTTAAATATTACATTGGAAAATGAAACGTTATTTAAATCGATAGCTCCTAATATATTTTTTAAATTACAACTAAAAGATTTCTGCAGGGAAAATTGGTCAACAAAGTGAAAGAGAAAATTTTCAAGTTTTCCCTGCTCCTGTTTGACAATAAATTGGTAAAAGGACTGCTTGCTCCAGATTTTGCTCTCTTTGAGTATAGAATGTTTCCTATTAAACAAATTGCCAATCATCCAGCCTTTACTACTTAGTCCTCTCTGACAAAGTGCCTTACTGGCTGTTTAATATTACCCAGCTTTTCTGGGCAAGTTTATAAACATTGTTTAAAAAAAAAAAAAACCTGCAATGTTTAGTGATTGAAACAAGTCTTCTTGAATTTGTTTTCCTTTTAGCTCACTGGTTGGAAACCACTTGTCATTTCAGTATGTTTGATATCCTCACTCTATAGAGTATGTTTTGCAGCATAAACAATTTCCCTTGCGCCTAGTGGACATTCATGAATGTGTACTACACGCAAGAAAAAAAAAGTGATTTTTTTTTTTTTTTTTTTTCTAAAAGTGAGAAGTTTAAAAATCTAATCTTTTTTTATGGTAGATCATTTCTCAGTGTTTTACACAGTTTGGAAAGGGACACTGAGAAATTACAAAGGGAAACTTTACCCCTGGAAAGGGTGCTCACAGGTGTCATGTACTGAATCACTCTGTTTTAAATGATTGATTGTTTATTATCATCAAGAAGGGTTTTATGTGTGTTATTTCCTTTTTTAACTTTTGATATGAAATAATCAGTTTATTTATAATAACTTTTATTGTGCTAATATAAACAGGGACATAATTTCTAATTCAATTTTAAGTAATTTTACTAGTATTACTAACTTTAAAGAAAATGAATTCAGTTTGTTACTCAGTGTTAAAGTATTCACCCCAAGGGAATGTCAGTCAGATATGATAATTTGTGAAAGCTTTGAGAATCAACAGTAAGTTCTCAGCTTATCTATGACCACATTTATTTAAATGTGACTTTAGATATTCTTTTATGCCAAAAACAAACTCACATGAGCACATGACAGTCTGAGCTCTATAATCAGTGTGCTTCTGCTGTGCAGAAATATTAGGAACATATTGTCTAAATATCTTTGATAACTAAAATGTTTAATATTTAATGAAATTTGTTGTTACTCATCATTTTAAAACTGTTTTTTTCTTCTAATAAAGATTTAGATAAAAAAACCTGTTTTTTTATTTCTTTAAGCTAGAAAAGGAGAAAAGCTTTAGTTTTTAAAACCTACAATAGGCTGACAGAATCTTCGCTCAACTAAGGTTTTTTTTTAATATCTAGATTTATCTTTTAAAAATTTTCCATTTTTCTCTAGCTGTGCATTGTCAAATAACTGAAACTGATAATTTATATAAAGTCAAAACTAAATGGATAAGAGATGGATTTTTAAAACCCAAACAGTGGCCTAAATTAGTTGGTCTTTGTTTTAATTTACCAAAGGTTTGCTCAGTCCCTCATTTGGTTTTACCAACATTGGAAGAAGCAAATCTCATCATTTTAAAGGCAGGGATGAATTTAGAGAACCTTTAAAAAATGTGAACACTAATAATAGTTTTCTAAGACAAGATTAAGTGTACCTATCACTGGCTTATCTTAAGCTAAAAGTTTTCTTACATCCAGCTCTTCCTTAACAAATGTGTAAGAATCTATTTTTTAATTGAATTATGTTAAATCTACAAAATGTTTCTTTCAATGAAAACATAAAACAATATGCTTGCGGTTTTCAGTGTTCTTTTAAAATGTTCCAAATCTAAGTAGATGCTAATACAATTAATGATTCTTATTTAAAATAAAAATATAGTTCAGCTTCCAAAAGAAATCTAAATTCTGCTTTAAATCTTAATAACTCCTACTTTTAGGTGACAAAGCACTAATCCTATTTCTAAAGTGTTTGAAATTGGACTATGATTAGATTTTTCTGCGTTGCCTACAAAGCTTAAAAAGTTTGTGAATCCATACACTAAAATTACACTATTAAAGATTCTGGGGAATCACCAGGCATAATGCGGTTATTATTTAAACTAATATTGGAAAACGGGCTCTGTGTAACAATTCCGTATTCTTTTACTGTATAGCTGAACACTCATTCCAATGTATGTTCTTTCACTTTTACAAGTGGTGCCTCAGGAAATTGCTCTTAAACTCTAACCAGGCACGATAATTATCTCCAGTATTATCTGGTTCTGGACTGGGGAACATGCTTTATAAATCAGTCTTTGTTGGCATAAGATGGGACAAAATTGAACTAAAATTATTATTGCAGACCATGGTATATGAAATGGTGTCTTGACATTTTTTCCAGTTTCTTGCAAATATTATCCTTAAATGTTTGTTTTTAAAATATAGCTATATGATTATAAGACTACAATTCAATAAATCACAGATGAAAAGAAATAGCTTACCGATATAGCAGGAATAATTTACTTTTCCAAAGTAACTTTCCATATATCATGTTTTTTTCTACTAGAACTAACATGGATATTGAAGACTTCTCTCAGGACCTAAGTTACTTCTGGCCCTTAGTGAGTCTATCATCTCCCAGAAAACAAAGCTATCCCCCATTAAAACAAATGTGATTGATTCACTCATGAAAATTGAGTACCACATTATACAAGGCTTGGACATCAGGATAATGTCAAGGTCATGGACCCTCTTAAATTTATCAGGTCAAATTAACCAACTTCTCCACAACTTTCCAAGAATAAAAGGTGGTTAAAACAGCACAGAATCTGGCAATATCTTCTCTAATGTTTTCTGTGCTGGGAAGACTGGGGACTGTCATGTGACACATTTGAAAGCCATCAAATCAAGAGTTCCAGGGAAGATGACAGAGTAGGAAGACCCTAAGCTCACCTCCTCCAAGGGATACAACCAGATAACACCTACATCAGTGTAACAACCCAGAAAAGAACCCAAAGACTGGCAGAACAGACTCCACAACTAAATGTAGAGAAGAAGCCACATCAAAGAGGGTAGGAAGGGTAGAGATGCAGTTGGGAACTAAACAGACCCACAGGACTGTCTGTGGGAGGGAGGGATGCCCTGGTGTGGAGTGGGAGAGGAGCAGACCTTCACACTAGGCACACCATGTCGGGGGAACCTGCACAAGGAAGAGGAATCCCTGTAACATTTGGCTTTGAAAACCAGAGGGGCAGATTTTTGTGAGTCTTACAGTCCAGTGGAGCTTAAAACCTGGAACTTTAAAATCAGCAGGCTGGCCTCTGGGAGAGCTAGGAGGGCAATAAGAATCTGAGTCCCTACCCTTAAAGAGACAACACAGCAAATAGCCCCACAGAGATACACACAGACGCTGCAGTTTGAAAAATGTCTGGGCTATACAGGAGGGAGATTTGTTTACTAATCTCAGAGCATGTGCTGGAGGGGAAGGGATCTTTGAGAGATTTTGAGAACAAAATTGCTGGAGGGTGCCATTTCCCTTCCGCAACTCCCAGTCTAGATACACAGACACCCACAGGAATACGCATAGTGTCCATACTCTCTACCTAGCTTACTAACATGGTGCCCCACCATTGCACACTTCTGTGGATTCACCCCCTCCAACTCAGCAGGAGTTTTGCCTGGCAGCTGTAGGTCCCCTCTCACAGCAAACCTGTATACCTTGCTGGCACCATGCACCGTGCTCCTACACTCTCCTGTAGAGTCACCCCCTCTAGCCCTGTGCCAGGAGTTTCTAAAGCAGCTCCAGATCCCCTCCCACAGAAGATCTGTGCAAACCTTGCTAACACTGTGCACTCTGCCCCTGCATTCTCCTGCAGACCTGCCCCCTCCATTACATCCTTTGCTGAAGCCCATCTAAAACAGTGCCAAAGCCTGGCAGTGTGCAAGAACCCCAAGAGGGGTCAGAAGCACTCCAAAGTGATTCCTGCCCCGGGGAGAGGGGAAGATAACCACCATTCCAACTGCAGCCCTAGCAAGGGGCTGGGGGCAGACTTCTGGTCTGACTGTGCCCACCCCCCACCCCCCCCCACCAACAACAGTTTCTCAGAGGAAAACAAGGGAAAGCACCCTGCAGTTTAATGCTATGACATCTCTGGCAAATGACTAACTAGTCTGATGCAACTCAAGCCCAAGACAGCCCCAGACTGGCCCACTAATGACACAGGTCCCAAACCCTGCCCACAACAGGGAAAGGGAGCTATTGCAAATGACTGGACTAAAGGTAAATGCAGCTCAGCCACAACAGCAGGATGCACACAACAGAGGAGACATTTCTGAAGCACCAGGTTCTGGGGAATGGGTGACATTGCACAGCAGTCCACTATTTTCAAGAGCAGGAGACATAGCTGATTTTCCTAACACATGGAAGCAGACACAGAGAGCTAAACAAAATGAGACAGAAGACTATATCTCAAATACAAGAACAAGACAAAATCACAGCAGGAGACCTAAACAAAATGGAGATAAGTAATATTCCTGCTAGAGAATTTAAAGTAATGGTCATAAAGATACTTTCCGACTTAAGAAAAGAGTGGAGGACCTCAGAGAGACCCTTAACAAAGAGAAAACATAAAAATTAATGAATCAGAGGTGAAGACTCAACAACTAAAATTAACAATATAAAAAATGGAGTATGTAGCAAACAGAGGAAGCAGAATTGATCAGTGACCTAGAGGACTGAGTAATGAGAAGCAATCAAGCTGAAAAAGAGAGAAAAATCAATCAATAAAAATAGATTTAGGGACCTCAGTGACACTATCAAGCATAGTAACATGCTCATTATACAAATTCCGGGATGAGAAGAGAGAGAAAAGGGGACAGAAAATGTATTTCAAGATATAATAGCTGAAAAAATCCCCAATCTGGGGAAGGAAACAGAAATCTAGATCCAAAAGGCACAGAGAGCACCCAACAAAATCAACCCAAGGAAGAATGTGTATTCTGCTGTTTAGGATGCAGTGTTCTGAATATATCTGTTAGATCCATCTGGTCTATTGTGTCACTCAAAACTGCTGTTTCCTTGCTGAATGAGTTCAAAATTAAATGACCATCAGCTTAATATAGATTGCTATATACAGAAAGTGTTATATGT